TTTCCCTAGGCAGGACTGTAGGAGAAGCACCCTATGTAGTTCAGCATACAGCTGTGAAGATGGGAGATAACACTAACCAATTTAACAGTAATTTCAGAAATGGTTCACAGACTTAACTTCCTGCAAAGCTTTGATAAGCTTTTCTTTCTCAAATACGTTGCTTTGACACCTTCTTTGTCCTCAAGATTCTTTTATTAAAAGTATTTCAGGGAAATTGAACTAGAACTTTAGTATCTCCTGCTATTACAGTCTGGATCACTGGGAACAGCAGAACAGTGAGAACACATACAGAAGCACCAGCTTAGCCACTTTGCAATTTTGATTGTACTTCAGAAAGTTTCATTCTCTGCCACTCATTATAAGATATATTGGAGAACAAATAAAGATTAGAGGAATCCAAACAGCCACCTGTAATATGGTACTTTGTAGGACTCTCAGGCTGGGCGATATTGAAAGATAAAACAGATGATATACTTGGCTATATTTGGCATGCCTGGAAAATACTCTCTTGAAGTCTGGATAAAGACGATAGTCCTCACAGAACATCTGGGTCTCTTGGGAGAGGCTTTTTAAAGATGTATAGCATTTTGCCTTCAGCCAAAAGGTATTCTTCCTCTCATGGGCACTGCTCAGCATCCCAGCCAGCCAAGAAGCCGACATCAGAGAGCCAGCAGCTACGGCTCCTTCAAATTCCACAATCCACTGTGGTGGAGACTCACCCTGTCATTGCAAAGCTGAGAAATCAGAAGAACTAAGGCACAAAGAGGCATTCATAGAAGCTGGGTAATGAAAATTTATGTTAAAAAAAAAAAAAAGAGTCCTGAGACTGTTCCTAGCTGGGGAGGAGAGGTACCAAGAAAAATACAAACACCAAAGAGCAGAATCCAGCCCTTCCACAGCAACATCCTTACCTGTTCCCAGGAAAGCTCAGGACATTCAAATTCAGATCAGATCTCATTTCTACATTTACTGCTTCCAAATAAGCATGCAGCGCTTCCCCTTCATCACACCCTCTACCGCCTCCCCTCTCCTTTCCAGGGTTTGTATTAGTTCAGCGAGGTCGAGATACCCAAGTGGAGTCAGACAAAGAAGAGCAGAGGCTCCCCACCTGCAGAATTAACAGCATCTGGACAATGGAAGCTGGGAGCTTTGTCTGGACCAGGGGAAGAATTTCATCCAACTTTACTTTTAGCAAGACCAAGTCTCTGAAGCCAAGAAGAGCAATCTGACGGATGGTCAACTCCTGACCCTAAAAAACCACAGAAGGCAAAATCCAAGAGTTGGTAAATGGACATGTGAGCATCACACCAACACATGTATGTACACAGACAGAAAGGGTCTACCCTGCCCATTGTTGTTGAGGTAAAGCACCCCCCAGCTGCTCAGGTTGAGGATTCATTGCTCTTGGTCCCACTCTTTGGTTGCTTCCTTCTTAGTCTCTGTCCCACACAAATTTTGAAATGAGTAATACCTCATCTGAGGCTCCACTTGTAGTGAAGCTCGTGCTTTTGCCACTCAGACCTGAGAAACCAGAGAAGGTT